GCCAGGATCAGGCCCAGGAGGCGGCGGGGCTCAGGTGGGTGCCGGTGGGGGTGTGAAGGTGGCTCCCCCCACCCGGACCCCGGGTTTCGGCAGCATGGCCGGCGGGGGTTCGGCCGGGCGGGGAGGGGGGGGGGGGGGGGGGGGGCTTTTCACCCCCCCCAGCACCAGCCGCAGGGCGTTTGCTGCGGATGTGCTCTTGCAGCACCCTTCCTGTGACTGCACCTCCCGCCTGCTGCCGCGCCGGTGCTTGCGGTTAGGGCGGGGTATTTCCCAGCCCGTGCAGCGCCGTGCAGCCGGGACAACGCTCGGCGGCCCCTGCAGCCCCTCGAGAGCTCCTTGGCTGCAGGTTGCCATCTTGGGGATGTTGATGCCGAGATAAGGGCCCCGGCCTGAGGCTTGCAGCACCCTTCCTGTGACTGCACCTCCCGCCTGCTGCCGCGCCGGTGCTTGCGGTTAGGGCGGGGTATTTCCCAGCCCGTGCAGCGCCGTGCAGCCGGGACAACGCTCGGCGGCCCCTGCAGCCCCTCGAGAGCTCCTTGGCTGCAGGTTGCCATCTTGGGGATGTTGATGCCGAGATAAGGGCCCCGGCCTGAGGGCTCTGCAAATGCATTGAGCCAGGCCCTCACCCTCCTCCTCCTCTTCCTCCTCCTTGTGTGCGATAGCTGTTTCCTGGTGTTGGGGTACCTCCGTGTCCCCTCTCGGGGCAACATGACCTGCCCCCCCCATCCTGTTCATGCCCACACCGTGCCCAGGGCGGCTGGTAGCCCTGGCACCAGGTTTGCCGTCACTTCTGCTTTCGGGGCGGCGTGAGCCCCAGCACGCAGCTCGGCAGAGCTGCCGGTGGGGCAAAGCTGGCCAGGGGGCTCCCACAGGGCACCCAGCACGCTGGGGAGGGGTGGGAGGCTCCTTTTTGGGGGGGCACCCCACGTCCTGACCACCCTTCCTGGGGGTGCACGCAGCCCCCGGCCCTCGGTGGCCCCGCTCCCGGCATGACGTTCTTCCCCCGCTGGGCTCTCCGAAACCGCAGCCGCTCTTCCCCCGCCTTTCCTTCCCTGCCAGGGCAGGAGGCACAGGCGGAGGGTGGCCTGCAACGCCCCTCGAGCTTTGGTGGTTGCCCGGCCCCGGGGCTGCCCTCGTGCCCCCGTGCCAGTGCAGCTGGGCCCTTGCTGGTGATGACTGCCGGCGCTGCAGCTCGGCGTCCCGCGGCGTCTCCTGGCAGAGGTGAGCCTCGGTGGGGGGGTGCCGGATCGGGGCTCAGCCCCCAGGGATGGTGTGGGTGCAAAGGGGATGCTCGGGGTCCCCCTTGGGGCGTGTGTGGGTCCCCACGGGGTGCCACCCTCCATGCAGTGCTGGTCCCTGGGGTTTTTAGGAGGCAGGTGGGTGCTTTGGGGATGTGGGAGCCTCTCAGGGATGCTGGGTGCTGGGGGAGCATCGATCGGTGTTTGAATGCTGTTGGGTGTGGGGCCTCCACCCACCGGCGCTGCTGGTGGGCGGTTGGTGTAACAAGGGGGGATTTGGAGTGGGTTTGGGGCGGGTTTGCTTCTCCTCCTGCTACACCGCAGATGCACAGGCACATGGTGGCCTCTGCCTGGGAGCCCCACACCAGCCCAGCCGGCAGAGGGGGAGGACGGGCACCCCAGGGGGGTCGGTTCAAAAGTGTATGACATCCCTGAGGTTTCATTTCTGCATGGGAAGTCATCCTGCAACTGCCTGTCCCACAGCAGCTGTCTCCATCACGGCTTATTTCCCATTTCCAGACACTCAGCTTCCGTTTCAAAACTTTCTTCTCAAGTGGAGCCGGCGGGGCTGAGCTCCCGCAGGTGGAGGCAGCTCGGCTCTGCCGGCCGCGGATGGAGGAGGTCGGTGTTCACATCCTCCAGGCCCCCAAAACACAGAGCCCCTCTCCAGAAGAGGAGGAGGATGCTTTGCTCATGTGCGATCCCTCCTTGGGGCCATTTCCAGCCTGAACGATGGAGCTCAGCATCCTCTCGCAGTGAGCGGGGCCCCGATTTCATCTGCCCCATCTTTTCCCCCTGCAGGTCCCATGGCACCAGGCTGGACCGTGCTGGTGATGCTGGTGCTGGTGCTGAGCACCCTGCGGGTGTGCGGGGCCGTGCCGCCGCCGGAGCCGGGGCAGCATCGCGGCCTGCAGTGGGTCTGGGGGGTGGCCGGGCAGGCGCAGGCTGAGCCCCTGCCGTTCTCCCGCAGGAAGAGGGCTGATGGCGGGCAGCAGCCCAGCGCCACCGCCGCCACGCCGGGGCATGGCCACGCCGCCACTGTGACGCCCAGCAGCGACGACACCGATTCCCCCGAGCCCGACCTGCTGCTGGGCTCTGTGCCACCAGCAGAATCTGGCTCCAATGCGAGCCTGCACAGGGTACTTGTGGTGCTGACCACAGCCGATCCCTTGGATGAGACCGATTCCCCTGATCCTGACCTGCTGCTGAGCTCTGCGCCACCACCAGCACCCAGCACCAACACCAGCCTGCACCGGGCACTGGCAGCGCCGACCACAGCCGATCCCCTGGATGAGACCGATTCCCCTGACCCTGACCTGCTGCTGAGCTCTGCACTGTCGGCAGCACCCAGCACCAATGCCAGCCTGCACTGGGCACTGGCGGTGCCGACCACAGCCGATCCACAGGACGAGACTGATTCCCCTGATCCCGACTTGCTGCTGGGCTCTGAGCTGACGGCGGAGCCTAGCAGACAGGCAGCACCCCAAAACATCACCACCATCCCCAGCCGGCTCACGTTGCCCAGCGAGGAGGGGACGGTGGCCGGTGACATGGACAGCAGCTCCTCCACGGAGCCACACTCGGCGACCTCCCCAGCCCTTGGCCCCATGACCACGGGTTACAAGAAAGGCAAGAAAGCCGGAGCCTCCCCCGCCCCGACTCATTCAACCCCTTGGGACAAGAAGCCCAGGGGGACCGCAGTGCCGGTCCCCTGGGACCCCAGCAGGGTGATGGGCAAGTGCCTGCTGGCCATCCTGCTGCTGGCGCTGGTGGCCGCCACCTTCATGGTGTGCACGGGGGTGCTGGGCGCCCTGCTCTGGCGGCGGGCGCGGACGGCACACCGCCAGCTCAGCCACACCGAGATGGTCTGCATCTCCTCCCTGCTGCCTGACGGCGAGATGGCCGCCAACGGCCCCAAGCCTGGCCTGGCCCGGCGGCCGAAGCTGCTGCTTGACGGTGGCTCCGAGGCCGACGGTGACAACCTGACGCTCAGCAGCTTCCTGCCAGAGCACTCCTGAGCTGCGGGAACAGGGGTCCTGCATCCCAGAGCATCAGGGGCCTGCAGCTGCGCCGTGGGCCCGGTGCCGAGTCCCCTGTGCTGCTGCATGTGGAGCCACAGGCAGGTGACTCCCATTCCCTTGGGTTTGTGTTTTAACTTGCACTGGCGTGATGGGAAGCTGCTTTCCTCCAGGGCAAGCTCAACCCTCAAGGTTGACCCCATTAAAGTGTTAGCAGGACATGGTGGTCTCTTCCTGGTGGGCACAGTGCCCGCCAGCCCCCCGGCCCCCTCCCCGCTCCCCCGCCTGCCCACATCCCTCTGCCGAAATTTCACTTCTCCATCCTCCCCCAGCAGCAGCCCCAGTCCCCTGGGGGGGAGCAGAAACAAAATGCGTGGCCACCCCATGCCGGGCAGGGGGCCAGACCCCAGGGGCTCGGGGACCACAGCCCCCCAGGACCCCCTCCCCGCCTGGGGCTTGGCCTCGTGCCACGGTGTGGGAGCGGAAACAGTGGCAGTGCCGGGGCGGAAACACCGGGGGCGGGGGGACGGGGACGGGTGCACTTCTGGCGTAACATGTTCCTGCCCTGTGGTCACCTGCAGCGAGGCAAAGGGACGCCTCCGGGACCGCTGCTGCCTGTCAGGGTGGTCCTGCGCGCTGATGGTGCGCCCAGGGCTCGTCCCCGGTGAGCAAATGGCGGTCACAGGCTCTCGGCCTCGTAGGGCGGTGTTGGCCCGGGCTGTCCCTGCCTGGTTGTGGCTGGGGCAAGGAGGGATGGGGAGAGCAAAGCCATGAGTGGCCACTGAGGGTCCCACCATCTTGCCTGTACCCGGGGACTGAAGAGGACTCAGGTTTGCTCCCAGGTCCCACCCCTCCCCGGTGTCCAGGTGTCAGTCACCCCTCGAGCCACCAGCCTGACCCCTTCCCTGTGTCCGGCCCTGGGGGAGCCACCCAAGGGAGCAGAAGTGGCCCAGGACTGTCCCTGCCCTGCCAGGCCTGGTGTTTCCACGTTCCCATCCCTGTCCCAGCCAAGCTCAGCATCCCCATCTCTCCATCCCCATCCCTGCCCCACCAGGCTCAGCATCCCTGTCCCCATATCCCCATCTCTTCCCCAATTTCACTTGTTGTCCCCATCCCTGCATCCTTATCCCTGCTGTGGCCAAGCTCAATGTCCCCATCTCTCAATCCCCACCCCTGCCCTGCCAGGTTCAGCATTCCCACATCCCCATCCCCACCCCACCGGGCAGCTTACGCCTCCCTCGATGTTTGCAGCGCACACTTGGGCAGCAAAGCGTTTCGGTGCGCACTCGAGGCACCGCTGCGCCGCCCCGTCCCGAGCTGAGCCCTGGGTGCGCAGCTGCCTCAAAAGCCGCTTTCAGGGGCGGCTGTCCCGTGGGCGGGTTGGCAGCGCGGCGGCTCACCTGCACCCCGGCCTCCCTGGTCCTGCCGTCTGTTTACATTCACACTGTGCTTCGGATATTTTCCATCTGGGGCCGAGCAGCCTCGCTGGCCCCGCTCCCTCCTGCAAATGTAAATGTTTACGGGTGAGTCAGAGCAGGCGAGGGGATCCGCAGCCGGCAGCGGTGGCCGGTCCCCGGATGGAACGCCCTGGCCACAGGCTCCTGGGTGATGCCACCCTGCTCTGACCCCACGCATGCGGATGCCAGCACCCTGCCATGCCAAAAAAAAAAGCAGATGCAGGAGTTCATGGCTCAGCCATAACGGGCATGGAGGCTTATGTGCCCCAAGGCTGTCAGGGCCAGGCTGGGGAACGGGAGCCTGCAGGGACCACTGTCACCCCCAGCCCCACTTTCTCTCGGAGGAGAAGGGATGCTTCCATCATCTGGCTTCATCCCACAGTGGCTCATCCAGCCTCTACCCCTGGCCCAGGCGAGGGTGAGGCTGGTGGGTCCTGAGAACGTGGGTGGGTGCAGGTCGGAGGGATTGTTCCTGCTCTCGCCCAGCCCTGTGCCTGCCCTGCCTCTGTTCTGGGAGCCCGACGAGCAGCGAGGATAAACTTTCCTCCACCGCCCAAGCATGAGCCGGCTGCCAGGAGCCGGGAATCGCCCTATTTGGCATAGTCAGGAGGTCCTGTCGGGCTGCCATCTCCCAGCTCACGGCAGAGGAATCTGCAGGAAGCCAGCGCGCGTGGCCACGGTGCCGCCCGGGCTCCAGCCGGTGTCACGGCAGGATCCTTGGGGCACACCGCCCCGGCAAGCCTCTGTGCCGTGCAGTGGGAGTGGGTGGCTGTGTGTGGCACGGGGCTGGGCTGTGCATGGTGATCTGCACGCCGTGGTGCAGCTCCGCAGGATCAGTCCCCTCTGGGTATTTTGCTGGCACAGCAAAGCACAGCCCCACAGAGCAAATTACAAGCAGAACAGGGCTGAAATGTCTCAAATTGCAGGTTACCTCGGGCTGGCTGTGCCGCAGAGCCGAGCCCTGTGTGTCCCCACGTTCCAGCTGCCCCAAATTACAAAGCGGGGCCCAGGCGGCACAGCCCTGCCCAGCGCCGAGGGGCCAAGCCCTCCCCAGCCGCAGGCAAAAATGGCATCGTAATGGCCAGTGTGCGCTGGCACCAGGGGCTGCCCGTCCCCACACCTCCGCCGCCCTGGGGAAGAGCCCGGAGCAGAGACGGGGACCCTGGATGGAGGCAGTGGGGACCACAGCTTGGGAAGGGTGGGGACAAGGAGGGATGGGGACCCTGGCCAGGATGGGATGGGAACCCTGGACAAGGAGGTTCAGCCCAACGCCAGCATCAGTGGGTGCACGGAGCGGGGAATTGCAGCCCCATCCCCGTCTGGGCTGCAGGAGCGAGTCCGGATGCCGCTGGCACTGCTCCAGGCCAGCTCGGCTCAGCAGCACGGCCGCCCTCGCACCCCTCGGCCTCCCCTCGCCTTTCCCCCTTCCCCTCTAAGATTTCAGGGCTGATCACTTAAGGCCGGGAAAAGCCGTTCCAGCAGCTGCATGGAGCCGCTGGCTGCAGACAGACGGACGGACCTGTTATTTCTGGGAGCCGCGATTACGTTTGGCGACGCCGGGAGAAACCCAAATGGCGCCGGTTCCCCTCTGGTTTCCCGGTGCCCGTGGCAATGGGAAGGGGCACCCTCACCCCCAGCCCCATGGTGGTCGCAGTCCCCAGGCGCTGGCAATGGCTTTTTTGGGGGGATCTGTCCAGGTCCCCGGGGAGGCGTGCGGAGGCAAATAGCAAGAGGATGAGGTCACCCACCGGCTGCAGCCTCTTGAGCAACTCCAGCCGAGGCGGAGGGGACCGCAGCGGGGTGGGCAGAGCGATGCCGGGCAGGGGGCCCCAGGCGATGTCCCCGGATCCCCCATCCAGAGACCGTGCCCTGGGGAGCTGTGTGGCCACCGCTGCTGCATGGGCCTGGGGAACTGCAGGGGCAGTTTTCTGCATCCCTGTCTGCATCCCGAGATGCTTGTGCTGGAGCATTTCCAGGCTGGGGTGTTTAGGAAATGGTCTCCTGAAATGAAGGTGGGGGGGGTCCCAAGCCCTGTCTGCCCCCGTGCCACAAGGCCAGCCTCCAATAATGCCAGGGCACCGAGCCCGACACCCTCCCCACCCCCCTCGGCCCCCGGGCGCTGCGTGGCCTTGGTGGCTGTGCCCCACCGGCTCGTGTCTGTGCCCTGGTGGGATGGCCGGGTTTGGGCTTGCAGGGCTGGGCACGGGGGCAGGATCCAGCCCTGGGCTGGGGTGCTGGGGCCCAAGCACACAGTGAAAGGCAGCTGGGTAGGAGCTGTGCCCGCTTCCAGCATGGCATCACTGGAAGGCATTTTGGGGGTGCCAGCACCCCCGTTCCACCCCGGTGGCTCAGCCACATGGCCACAGGATGGAGTTTTACCTCCGTTCTTATGGGCAAAAACACCCTTGCAGCAGACCTCCCTTGTGACCCTCTTCCCCACTTGCACCCCAAAAAAGCGTTCCCTTCCAGCAGCACTGAGAGGATGATGGTGGGCACCGGGGCTCCCCCCTTTGCTGGCGGAGCAAGAGGCTGGGAAGCCCCCCCAGCCCCCAGCTGGGTTTCAGCTGAGAGGGGGCTGGGGGCTGCCTGCCCCTCGCCGGCCTCCTGCACTCCCTCCCCAAACCGGCCCTAATGAGAACAAGCTGGTCCCAGGCTGCGGCGCAAGAGGAGGAGAAGGAGGAGGAGGAGGAGGAGGAGAAGGAGAAGGAGGAGGCTCCATCCCAGCAGGCAGCAGAAAGAGGCACAAGAAGGCGAGGTGTGTGGGACAGACCCCGTCCTCCCGGCTCCCTCCCACCGACGCGGCGGCTGCAGGCAAGGTGAGGATCCCGCCGGCAACGCCAGCCTGGCCCCCCAGTCTTGGGGTGGCTCCTTAGTGGGGCTCGGGCTGCCCCATGGCCAGGGGTGCTGCGGCAAGGGCTGGGCATGGTGCCTGCGGCAGGATGCGAGATGGAGCTGGCCGTGTGGCCGTGCGCCTGGGCATGGATGCTGCGCCTGGACAACATCAAAATCGTGACTTTCCTGTGTGTTTGGGGAGCGGAGCGGAGCGAAGCGGAGAGGGGTTTGCCTGCGTTCGGCCAAGCTGGAGCTGGGGACGCGCCGTGGGTCTGGGGGTGGGGAAGGATGGGGATGGGATGGGATGAAGATAGGGATGGGGATGGAGGGCTGGTGTTGGCTGCAGCGACAGGCCCTGCTCTTGGCACTGATTTGGGCTTCGGTCAGCCCCTCCGTGGCCATGGCTGCTTGTCAGCTCCGCTTGCTAATGGCGAATCAATGCCTTCACCTTCCCTGGGACCCTTCTCCCTGCTGCAGCCAAGGGGCCCCTCTCTGCAGTGAAGGCAGTGGAGGGGGAGGATGGAGGGGCTTGTCCCAGCACCCCAAAAACCCTCGTCCTGGCGGTGCCACCATTACTGCAGCGAGCCCAGAGCCCACGGCAGTGGCAATGCCACTGGGTTGGGGGTTCAGGGGTCTGGGGGTGCCTCCCACCTCCGCTGCCATTTGTTTGCTCTGGTTTAATGCAAACCAGATTTTGCAGCCGGGAAGGAGCCTGAAAGCCAAGTCCCGCTGCTGGAGTCCCTCCCGGTTTGCAGTGCTTGCCAGGTTGGGTTTGTCTGGGGGGAAAATGGGAGGTGGGTTGGGATATGGGGCGCCTGAGGTTGGGGGAATTGTCCTGGGGGTCCCCACCAATGGACCCAGGGAGCTGGTTCGCGTGACCTTCCTGTGGGGCTGTGCAGAGGGGAGAGCTCTGGGAATGGCTCAATGGTGTTGCACAGCCGAAACACGCTGCTGTCCCCCGGGGATGCACCACGAGGTGCTGGGGATGGTTGCACCCCTCTCCCGAACCCCACAGGGGTGCGAAGCCTGGCTGGGAGCTTGGCCCGGCTCATCGCTCTGGGCTGCGTGCGGGGATGGGAAACACTCGTCCCATGTCCTACCACACACCATGGGCTGTGGCTGCCAGCATGGGGCAGATCCAGCCCCATCCAGCACAGAGTGCGGCATGGTGAGGGGATGGAGCTGGCCTCCACCCTTCACTGGGGATGATCGGGCAGCCGGGACCCCCTGTTCACTGCACCCCAGCTCCAGGGCTGCCCCTTTGCAAAGGCTCTGGGTGGTCCCGCGCCCCATCCCAGCACCGCAGCGGCACTGGGGTGAAATCCTGCCGCCAACCTATTTTTAGCTGCGCTCAAGCTGGGAATCGTTTGCAACGGTCCGTGCTGGGACAAGCGGTTGGGAAATGCCGCTCGCGCCGGGGGCTGGCCCATCTGCAGCGTCGCCTGTGTCAAAGTTTCCACTGGAAACCTCAATTTTTCAGGAATTTTCTAATCAGCCAAATGACCGTTGTCTGAAGCTGGCTGTTGGCAGCGGTCCCAGTCCCCTCGCCCTGCACGCAGCATCCCCCAGGCTTGAGCAATTCGATTCAGCTGTTTTCCATCTATTTTTACAGTGCGCCGTTGCAAAACAAACGCAGACCCTTGCTCAGCGTCGGGGCGAGGAAACCAGAGCTGCATTTTGCTTTTCATAAGGAAATTCAGCCGGGTGAATACCCCAGCTAACCGTCGGTGGGTCGACGCTTGTACTTGTCCCTCCCTGTCAGAGCCACAGGCAGGGCTTGGGGTGGGCGCACCATGGGGTTTTGCTTGGGGCAGGGCTCGGGGGTCTCGCTCCATTGGGGTGTTAATGTTTCGCCCTCCCCTCTGCATCCTGCAGGCCGTCGTGCACGAGCCCCAGGGGAGATGGCGGTGCGGCTGGCGATGGGCGCGTGGCTGCTGCTGCTGCTGGCGGCAGCCCCAGCACGCTCAGCTGCGCCCCGGCACACCGCGGTGCTGCCCGATGGCGGGGGTAGCGGGGACGGTGAGGAGGTCTCGGCCACACCACCCGTCCGCCGTGTGACTCCGGGGACCGGCCCGACAGTGGGGGACGTGGCGGGGACCACAGTCACCAACAGCTCGGCGCCGGGCAGCGTGCTGGACGGGCTGGTGGACTTCTTCAAGGAGTACATGCTGCTGGCGGTGGTGGTGGGCTCGCTGGCCTTCGTCCTCCTCTTCATCATCTGCGCTGCCGTCATCGTCCGGCAGAAGCACAAGGCGTCCGCCTACTACCCCTCCTCCTTCCCCAAGAAGAAGTATGTGGACCAGCGGGACAAGGCAGGGGGAGCCCGGGCTTTCAGTGAGGTGCCTGAGAAAGCCCCCGACCCCGGCGCCAAGGAGCCCCTCGACAGCAACCAGCAGCTGCAGGCAGACATCCTCACCGCTGCCCAGAACCTCAAATCCCCCCACAAGGCACCACTGGCCAACGGGGCCCGGGCAGAGCAGAAACCTCCCCCCGAGGAGGAGGAGGAAGGAAGCAAAAAGTTAGGTGACGAGCAACCCGCCGAGCCCCCTCCCCAAAATCCAGGCACCGAGGAAGCGGCGGGTGTAACAGGAGCAGGGGGCGAAGGGGCCCCCAGCGCAGCCCAGGACGGCTCCCCGGCCCCCCCCAGCATCTAGGGCAGGGACTCGGTCCCGGGTGAGCCCGAGGAGCCGCCGGCTCGGGGGGACGCCCCGCGGACACGCGATGGACCTGATGGTTTGTTGCTCCATACGTACGTGGCGGCTCGAGGAAGCCCCGATGAAGTCCCCCCCGCTCCCCCCCCGAGCCCACCGACCCTTGCACCGGCGGGATGCTGTGGCAAAGCCATGGGTTTTTTTGGCAGATGGTGGTTTTGGGCAGTGCTGGAGTGCCGCCAGCCCCATGTCTCCTGCTCTCCAAGGGGCTTTTCCCATCCCCAGGCACTGTGTGGGTGCCCCCCTCCCAGCTCCAGCTCCGCCCCTCGCCCTCTGCCACACACCGCCAGCTTTCTCCCAAATGTAATTTTACTCATTAGCAGCATCCTGGTCCCTGCTGGGCGCCTGGCCGGGAGCTGCATCCTCCGGGCAGAGGCATGGCACCGCGGCCGGGGGGGGTCTGTGCAGCCACCCCGCTCTGAGGGGAGCGGGTCGGGGGCTCGACGTGACCCAAGGCACGGCGGGCTGGCTTCGCTGAGCGCTGTGACCACCGAGGAAATGACGATGGGACGACCTTGGCCATCCCTGCCCAGCTAAGGGGAGCAAGGAAGAGGATTTAGTGGCAAGGACCTGTCCTTTCATTTTTCTGCCCCAAAGCCTGACCCAAGGGCAGCCCAGAGCCCAGCTGGACTTTTGCCTTATTTTCTTAACCCCTTCAGCTAGTAATAAAGACGTTTCCTACGCAGACCTCCTCTCCTGTGTGTTTCTGCAGCTTGCGGGGCGGCCAAGGCCCGCTCCCCATATCTGTTTGCTCCCCAGTCCTTCAGAGCCCTCACAGCATCGTGCTATGTTGGGGCGCAGCTGGTTTTGGCCTCAGCCCCACGGGGTCCACACGTGCCCCCAGCGCCCGGCAGGCGCAGCCGGCCTGGCCGTGCTTCGGGGTGAGGGTTATCTGTGTGGGTGAAACCCCGGGAACCGGGGGAACGTGCTTATCGCTCAAAAAATCTGTACGTCAACACACCATTTCTGGGAAACTTTTATCTTGCGGCCCGCAGCCGAGGGCGGGGGGGCCGCGGTGCTGCCGCACATCAGCACCGGGACACAGCTGTGCCCGGCGGGGATGTCAGGCAACCCCGGAAGGCAGAAGAGGCAACACATCCCCGTATCCCTGCATCCGTGCGTTCCCACGTCCCTGCACCTGCACATCCCCATATCCCTGCAGCCCCATATTCCTGCATCTGTGTATTCCCACGTCCCTGCACCTGCACATCCCCAATATCCCTGCAACCCCATATCCCTGCATCCGTGCACTCCCACGTCCCTGCATCTGCACGTCCCCATATCCCTGCAGCCCCATATCCCTGCATCCGTGCATTCCCACATCCCTGCACCTGCACATCCCCATATCCCTGCATCCCTGCAACCCCACATCCCCCTAACCCCGCATTTCGCCCCAGCCCCGGGGCAGGCAGGGATGCGTCCCCACGTCCCTGCACGGGGACCACCTTTCCCCTTGGAAGGGCGCGCTGGCTTTTATCTCCCCTCTTGCACTTTGTCGAGGGGCTCTCGCGAGCCCAACGAGCCCGTTCTGCCCCAAAGCAGGCGTCTGAAGTTTCCCTGATTTTTTTTTTTTTTAACTGGGAAACCGCAGGACTGTTCCCAGGGAGCAAGGCACATTCCTCGCTGCAGCAGACAGGGGCTGTGCCGAGGGCCAGCGTCCGGCAGGCGGGATGGTGCCAAGCTGAGGTACCGCAAGAGCGGTCTTGGGAGGAACAAACCACAGCGGCAACACGTGGCCTGCTCCGCATTGAAAAAAGAATAAAAATGTTGTGGACAGACACATCAGAACGAGCCACTTATTTTTAAATGTGGTTTTTAATGTTTTTAAAACACCTTAGGTATGAAAAAAGGAAAGTAAGGTTTCTTGGGTGGTTTAAAATCTTAAGAGCAGGCAAAGTTTTCAAATGTGTTTTCTGTTTGTTTTGGAAATCTATGGGAATGCTCCCCTGGAAAAGAGCAACCACCAGAAGGCACAGGAGGGCACGGTGGCCCGGAGCAGAGGCTAAGCCGTGCCAGATCACCACAGAACGTTTCATTTTCCAGCACTGGTGTGCCCCCAGCTCCCGGGGAGCCAGCTCGCACGCTCAGCCTGCGCACCCTCAAGCAGCTGAGATCGCCCACGCTCTCCCCACAACCCACCCCTCGGGCACGGCGCAGCCCGACCCCTGCTCCGCCGGCAGCCTCCCCTCAGCGCTGCGCCCCAGCTGCGCTCCTCCCCTCCTGGGTTCAAACCCGAGGGTGCGTCTACTCTCTTTTAACAGAGTACTTGGCCAAGCCAAGGGTTGACTCCTTACATAAGACACGCCAAAATTAAGATTGTTCCTCTAATGGGAGCTTCAAAACCAAAAACCCACAAGCATCAGACGTGACAGGATCGGGGTCTGCGCTCCCCGGAGCGGTGGCACCCAGCACCCAGCTGGCCAGTGCCCCCTAGAGCCCGCCGAAGCCTCCCGGCACCCCGGGGAGCAGGAACTCGCACACGGATTGCCAAATGAAACTCCGACACAGCCGTAGTTTGCGGGCAGACGCGCCGCCCCACGTTTGTATACCGCACCGATACACAGACTGATCTGCAGTTCTTACATAAACATTAAGACCAAGGCAACGTTTCCCCGCTAAATTCTGTCAAATATTAGGCAAAACTATACATCTTCCAAAAAAGTGCAGCCCTTCCAGTACGGGAAGAGCAGGATTTTTCTCTCCAGAGAGAAGCCACTGAGTTCTCTGCAGCTGAGCAGTTTTCGTTCTAACATTTCAAACACAGTCGTGACGGGACACCGGCTGCTGAAATACCCACATCCCAGGCGCGCAAGCACTGCGAGAGTGGCTGTACACACACGAACAGTGAGACGGTGTGCGTAAGTTGTGCGTATCTTACAGCTTCGTTTAGTAGTGCACAGGATCCTACTAATAGCTAGAATAATTGCACTGCAAATTTAAGTGGAATGAGAACAAGCGTTACAGTCCGTTTAGGCATTGTTTGCTTTCTTCTCTGACTCTTCTTTGTTTGGATCCTGCTTTAACTTGTAATCAGCCAAGGCAGCCTTGATTGCGTCTTCAGCCAACACTACAAACAAAACAAGACAAGTATTTCAAGGACAACAAAAAGTTGTTTAGAACAAAAAACGCCGTAAAAACAAGAGCAGCCAGCAGTGAGCACCACTGCAGGTAGCGCCCGTCAGCATCTCAGAAGCAGAATGTCAGAAACTGAACGCTTATTATCAGTCTGCTGAGCTAGAGAGTCCAAAAGCTGAGAGAGATCTGAAAACTCTTAAAATAACCCTGAAATCTGAACGTAGGCAAGTTTCTCTTGTGGGCCAACCTTAGCTGTTCCTTGTGCAGAAACTTTATTTGGAAAACAACGTTCAGAAGCATCTGCGCTATTCCCAGAAGCCTCCCTCTCAAAGACAAGTTTGTGCTTGAACTTTCACCGTGTGGTCCTTTACTTACTAGAGCAGTGCAGTTTGACTGGAGGAAGGCAGAGTTCTTTAGCGATATCCGTGTTCTTGATTTTCAACGCTTCGTCAACCTGAAAGGCAGTTAGTGTGCAGTGACCGGTCGCGTGAGGTACAACACAGGCTACACAGGCGTTTGCTGTCAGAGTGCTTTAAGGCTCCAGAGCCAACAGAATCCACACGGAAGAACATCTCAACTGCCAGGGGCAGTGAGGGATGTCGGAATTAAGGCATCAGACTGAGCAGCGGTGGGAATGAACCAAGGCGTACCAGCGTTACAGACTAAGTGCCACTGGGGGGATTGTTCTGTGCTTACCTTTTATCACGACACAGAAATGCATTTCTTATCCGGCAGAAAAAAGTATAAATAAAGACACTCCATAACTAAACTTTCTCTCAGAAATCATGATCAGCGTGGTTTTGCTTTCTGCCTAAGACACAAAGTACGTCCCTGCAGATTAATGGAGGTTCTTGGAAAAGTTAACTATTGCTCTAGAAGTCAGACCGCTAACAGGGCTGACAGTCGCTGCTTTCTAAGCTACTGTACCACACTGCACGAAGTCAGCGCTGGGATACCCAGGACACTGCTTCCTACGCGGTCCCAACAGAGAACGCAAGCAGGTCTGAAGCTCTGAAGGCTTTCCGCGGTGTCACCTCTGACTCCGGCAGGAGCCCTTACCGTTTTCCCTTTGACCCACTCCGTCGCCAGCGAACTCGACGCGATCGCTGACCCGCAGCCAAAGGTTTTGAAACGGGCGTCGACGATCTTCCCGTTCTCGTCCACTTCCACCTGCGAGAGCATCAGTGGCACCTCAGCGGCTGGCTGGGATCCGCCGGGCGCCCCAGAGCCACCCTCTTGGGCCCAGGCAGGGCCCTGGCTCCCACTCGGGAGCGGGACAGGGCCTGCCCAGGCCGCGGGGGACACTTCAGGGCGGCGGGGGGGCGAGGGAAGGCCGCGCTGCACCCCTGAGGGGAAGGGGGCAGGTTTGGGCCTGGCAGCAGCCCCAGGCGACCCCCTCCCCCGCTGCCAGCGTGTCCCCAAGGTCACCTGCAGCTTCATGACGTCGCCGCAGGCCGGAGCACCCACCAGGCCGGTGCCCACGTTCTTGGCGTTGCGGTCGAGGGAGCCGACGTTGCGCGGGTTCTCGTAGTGATCCACCACCTGCCAGGCCACCGCGTCACCAACACCCACCGCGTGTGTCTGTGTCCCCCCCGCCACCC